GAGCCTCTATCCAAAGTTCTTCAGGCACTCTGTCCACCAAATCTAGTTCCTTAAATATTTTCTTCACTTTCACTGTGTATTCATAAGGGATTTCTATTAGATTATACCTGACTAGCCCAGTTGTTTTGCCTACTCTCTTCAGTTTAAGCTTGAATTTTGCTATGAGAAGCTGATGATCAGAGCCACAATCAGCTCCAGGTCTTGTTTTTGCTGACTGTCTATTAGATTATACCTGACTAGCCCAGTTGTTTTGCCTACTCTCTTCAGTTTAAGCTTGAATTTTGCTATGAGAAGCTGATGATCAGAGCCACAATCAGCTCCAGGTCTTGTTTTTGCTGACTGTATAGAGCTTCTCCATCTTTGGCTGTAGAAAATATAGTCAATCTGATTTCGGTATTGCCCATCTGGTGATTTCCATGTGTAGAGTCGCCTCTTGTGTTGTTGCAAAAGAGTGTTTGTGATGACCAGCTTGTTCTCTTGACAAAACTCTATTAGCCTTTGCCCTGGTTCGTTTTGAACTCCAAGGCCAAACTTCCCTGTTGTTCCTTTTATCTCTTGACTCCCTACTTTAGCATTCCAGTCCCCTGGAATGAGAAGAACATCTTTCTTTGGTGTCAGTTTTAGAAGTTGTTGTAAGTCTTCATAGAATTGGTCAATTTCAGTCTCCTCAGCACTGGTGGTTGGTGTATAAACCTGGATTATTGTGATGTTGAAAGGTCTGCCTTGGATTCGTATTGACAGCATTCTATGATTTTTGAGATTATATCCCCTTACAGCTTTTCCCACTCTTTTGTTGACTATGAGGGCTACTCCGTTCCTTCTGCGGGCTTCTTGCCCACAATAGTAGTGTTCTGGATAGCACACCTTAAAAAGGATGCTAACAGATTGAAACAAGTTCAGAGGAATGTAACAGGCTTTCCAACCTGCCCTCTTTTTAACAGCCTTGTTCACCTCTTGCAGGCTCAAGGATGTGGCTTCCTTTATTGAGCCAATCCATCCCATGTTTAGTCTTCCTCTCTTCCTGCTACCTTCAAAGGATCATATATTTTGCCAGTTCAGCGTAGAATATTTTATGTTCAGCCCTGTCTCTTTCCAGTGAAAACAGCTCAGATTTCAGGGCTGGGAAAGTTGCTCTGACAACTTGGGTATTTGCTGTAGGCTGGGTTACAGGGTTGCATGTGGTCAACCTTCTAAGTATAAAACAGGAATCCTTCTAAACCTGAGGAGCTATGCGCTCAAGTGCCACATCTGTGCAGCCTTGAAAAAAAAATCTTAATATAGCACCCAAGAGTACTTGCCTCCATGTACCATCATCTTGAGCACATGATAGAATATTGTCATGTATTCTATCAGGCACTTATTATCCCAATATTTTTGCTGTCCCAGGCATACCATAAAAACATGCATGTAAAATAGCAAGGCATTTTTGTGGACCCCATTGCTCCCCATTTGTTTGTGGGCTGGATAGCACCCCAGTGGGAAAAGAAAACCAACAAAACCACAAATTCCTTCCATTCTGAAAGGGACTTGGTGCAGAAATTTCCTCTGCCACTTTTATGGACTGTGAAAAGCCACAACTGTAGCCGTGTAGCAGATTTTGGCAGCAAAACCTATGGTGGCTGCCTGCTTTCTGCAGTGACGATGCCATCCTTGGTGGGTTCAGTAAGAGGTCCAG